GATCCGATTTGGGATATTCCAAGTTGAATTTGAAACATGATCAAGTTTGGGACATGATCATCCCAAATTAGAAATTGTAGTTTGAGAAATCTGAAATAGGAATTTCGATTTGGGATATCCCAAGTTTAACTTGAGACATAGTGACATTTGGGCTACAACATATGCAAGAAAGTTAAAAAGTCATAGAACACATTCTAGTATACCATTTTTTTTAAATATACAAGAACACATTCTAAAACTATTTTAATTACGCAAAGTTAGAACAAAAAAATAGTATCAGGATACCAAAATTTTTGAATATAGATACCAAAATTCTGATTGAAAAAAGAACTATAAGGGCTAAGTTTCCTGAAAAATATCAAAATGAATGCGTGTCTCACATATCATCCTTTGAAGAATAGGGTCTGGACTAGTAGATGGATGAAAATATATACAATATTATTTTATAACTAGATATTTTTTCTAGTAGTTTTAAAAATGGCAACCGAAATAACTGGTCTAGAGGACATTATAGATAGTACAAGTAAAAATATTAAAAAGGTTTTCCAAAATAGTGTTAAACCTGAAGGTAAGCAAGAGGCATATATAATTAGGCTTAAATTGACATTGGATAGATTAGCACGAGAGTTAGAATTTGCACAAAATATTTATCAAGATATGTTTTCAAATCAGATTAATTGAATTGGATAGATTGAGCGATAAGATGCTCAAGTGTATTATTATATATTTTTTTGTATAATAAATATTTGATTACAGAATACTTCTTTATAATGGAATGCAAACAAGAGTAAATATCTAATAGCACATATAGTGAGTATAAGAAAGACATGGTAAAAGAGCTAATGAAATTATCAGAACTCGATTATCATACAAAAGCATTTCCAGAAATTGATAAAAAATTCTGGAGAAATTATAGCATTAATGATAAAGGTGGATAAACTTAATTCTCGGTTCAAAAGGCTTGAAAGAACTGTAGATTGGATAGGAAATTATATAGAAGAGCAAACTGGTCTAGAATCTAATAAGAGCTAACAGATTTATCTAAATCTGATTCAGATTAAGAATCAAAGGTGTTTAATAGTATCCATAAATAATGTGTATGTAATTTAGTCACATGATATTGCTCCCTTAGGGCTCAGTGTCAGATGACATCCAACGGAAGTCCACGCGGTGTCACATGATCACGCAGTTGTATTCAGACGATCTAATTGGCTAAACATAATATAGAGTATATATTTTTTTGCCTGAATTTTAAAGGATAATATCTCAATATCACTGATCAGATTTATGCATGGTGTGGCAGCCATGGCTCAGTGGTTAAACCGCGAGTCTCCATTAAACTAAAGTTTCATTACACAGCAATAGGCCATCAGTTCAGGTATCAGCTAATACATAAAACTGTATGATTTTCCATAAGGAATTTCTTTGTAACTGAAAAGATAAGCGTATAAACTATTATGCGTACAAATTTGGTTGATTGATCTGTCGATCAACATTTATCAAGCCTAAATACTGCACGGCGTTAGAACATAGGAAAGCAAATAAAGCTAGGGATCGATAGAAACTTAGTCATCGCTGACAGGTCTGTAATGGATACTGTCTCCCTTCTCACACGGCAGGGGCTCTTATTTCCGTATGTGATCGCTGTCGAAGTGATTACATGTATAAAATAAGGAAGTGATTGACTAAACATTAGTAGATTGGATAACAAACCAGTAATAATTAGACTGCATTGCACGTCGCAGTACTGGCCTAAATCGAGCTGTTACTAGGGTTAGAGGTCAGGTTCAATTCCTGAGTTGTTTGACGTAATGGGTATTAAAGTCAGCTGGTTGAAAGAGGTCTATACAGATATGGTAGCTCCCGAGGCATAAGCCGCGTAAGGTCACTTCGTATCAATGTCAAACCAAATAATTGGATCTTGATAATAGTTCACCCAGATCGTTGGTAAAATAGTAATGACGTTCACTATGGCTGCGATGTACCCTCTATCCAAATTTAACAGTACCAGAGTTGCTGAGATACCTTTCACCACATAATGCGGATGTCGGGGTTCAGGATGTCATACCTCAGTAGGCATAGCCTAGGGGATGTATTCGGTGGCATGGGCTTTTGAAATATGAGGTCAACGCTAAAGGGTGTTTCAACGCTATGACCTTTCGGGAATACCTAACTTCTCTTTGAAAGAAGAGTATCTGGAGCATAATCGACCACTCAACTGTAACCATCTTAAAAAAAAAAAACTGATCTGATTTATGCGAATTTAGGCTTGTTGGAAAGATAATAACCTGCTGAATCCAGACGTTCAATCCTCATCAAATTTGGGCTAGTAGATATCGAGATATTGCGTTCCAAGATCGTTACTGTAAATCGGACTTTTATGATTATCATTATAAGCAAAATATACTGCACATTGTGACAATAGTGGTCACCTCTTCTATCGAAAATAAAAAATTTTATTATACCTAGTTTTTGTACAAATAAAGTTGATCCTGTCATCTGAAAAAAATATACGTTCCGGTCATGTATTCATAGTTCTATCCTAAATCAATTATAAATTTATGCCAATAATAATCAAATAGGTATAGTCACTTCTCGTGAGCAGTCAATCACTTCTCGTCTCGTGGGCAGTCAGTTACTTCTTGTGGGCAGTCAGTCATTTCTCGTAGGCAGTAAATTATTTCTCGTTGGCATTTAGTCACTTTTCGTGAGCACTGATTATTTCTTTTCATATGCTCTCTTAATTTACAAGGATAACGAAATACCTTAAAATAATATATACATGTCCGATTATCTAACTTTTTTTAAGTCCTCGTTCTCTACAGTTTAGATATTATACTAGGATTTGTGAACTGATAGGGGAATGGTAATAGTCTTTCCATTACATTTTCACTAAAGGTTCCTATCCAGCTAGATTACTTAATAAAAAAGAAATCCAAATTAGATCAGGATATTAATAAGCGATGAAAACACATGAATTGTCGTCGAAGTAAAATAAGTAATATAATAATTTAGCATAAACTGTTATTAATTTATTGTTAAAATAATTAATTTCAAATAGAAAAGAAAAAGGAGAGCTAAGATGATCGAGAAATTACAAAGTATAAGAGATCTATTAATTAAGAAGTTTTCTGAATGTGAGGTTCATTTGCTTAAAACAGATAATCAGTAACACTAGTAACACTCTTTAGAGGATAGTGAAGTAGACCAGTCCAATCTTACTAAATATAAAATAATTGTTATGAGAGATCTTAGATGCGATTAGATACTGTAAGTTATTGAGATGTATAATGTATTAATCGGCATATGGCTAATTTTATTTTTTTTAGTGTCGTAACTTTTTACGTGAATATGTTGATAAACTTTTTGAAGAAATATCAAAGACATCACAACGCAAAAGTCGTATTTGTAATGGTTCCTATGCATTAAACGAAAGTACAGCACTATTAAAAGCATCAAAATAGTTAGTGTTCAGGTACAAAGGATCTTTGAAGCATGAAATAAATAAGACCATTCAGATTAGATCTTCTATTCCTCCAACTGATGAATAAATAAGCATTTGCATTTTTTTCTAAATTTATTTATTTTTTTTACAATAGAAATTTTTCTTTTAGTAAAATTTAGTAATAGCAATTTTACTGCATATACTACGTATTAATTATTAGCTAAAAATTTCACTGTGTATTATCTGCTGCTATAAATAAAATAGTAATAATACAATATTAATCGGGAATCCTCAATATGGATTTTATAATAATATTAAAAATTTCATAATTTATAAATTATAATTTATATATAAATTTTATTTTAGCAATTACAAACTATATTTTTAATGAAAATTATTCTATATATAGTGTTACTAAATAAATATTTAATAAAATATAAAAATATAAATAAAACAAATAATTTTTTACCTATTTATAAAAATAATTTAATGTTTAATTTGTTTAATTTAAATTACTTAGACTTTTGTAAATTTAAGACTTCTATTAAATTAAATGAATATATTAATATTAAATTATATTAATATTTATATATTTTATAAATTTAATATAATATAATAATTACCAATATTTTAACTAATTTCTAAATTTAAAATATCATTTAATCTTTTAGTAAAATTTAGTAATTGACTAGTATGATATTCTTGTGGATGTGATTTAATAACAACTTCATTAGCATTAATAATATTATTATTTTGTAATTTTTTTAATAACTTATCT